CGTTGATGGAGTAGTCAATACTGTTGACGTGAGTGATACTGATGATGAATGAACTGATGACATTAGAACTGAAGATGTAAAGTCATTAGTAATATTAATACCAGTTATTACAGCAGGAGGGTTAGATTGACAAGTATATGTGGTTGCCCATTCACATGCATACAGTGTTAAGTTATCACCAGCTGGTATGTTAGTAATACACTGAATAAAGTTCAACTCATCATTAGGAGATATATTGAAACCATCAATAATATAGTCTACATCATCAGCAAGCAGAATTACATCAATATAAGGTGTACTGCCACTGACATACTCAAACTGAAGACAAGCAGAATTTGATGTGATATTAATCAATGTGAATTCCTGAAGATCATGAGTACCTTAAAATAAGTAAATATCATAATGTATTAATTGTGTATTACTTACTGATTGTTATAGTGTTGCTTTGAACTGTAACTCCATTTTGATAGTACAAGGTAGCATTAGTATTCAGTGTCTTATTTGATGGAAATTGAACAACAAGTGAAATGTTATTATAAGAACTATTGCTTATGGATACATTTGTTGTTGAATAACAGTTATCCTTAGTACATCCTTTCAATGTAATGTTCATTAGTGGTGGTACATTAGTACAAAACTGATGAACCTAAAAAAATGTTTTCTTAAGCAGGTAATCACAACACAGTAAACACACCATGGGATATCATTATTAAGTACAATATAGACTATACATTATAATACATGGTACATTTATTACACATTACCTATAATACATTATAATACTGTAGTCTGTCTATCATCATTTAACACTACTATTCACTATTACTATAAGGTTATCATAGCTGGCTATGATTAATCCCATTAGGGAAAACTTACAGATACAATGAAATGAAAAGTCCAATTTGCATTCCCTCTTTCCTTATCAGTTACATATAACTCTACATCTACTGTATAGAATAATCACATTAGGCTCTCAATAAGTATAATTACTTACTTGTTGATTGAAATCCAACAGTTATGTTACTAGTAGATCCATTCCCAGCTTTATTAGTAGTTGTAATGTTAAACAGATATTGTTTATTGGTTAGGTTCATTGGACAGTAAGTGTAGTTAGTGATAGAGTCATTAAGGTACTGTTGATCAGTTCCTACACTGATTATATACTGTACTGTTAGTCCTGGTAGTGTGAATGGAGGATACCAACTGATAAACATACAACAAGAATCTAACTGATATCCTGTTAAATTACTGACACTAGTAGGTGGACCTGTCATTGCCATCAGGTAATTGTGCTTTAAATAACTGAATGTATTATACTGACCTTGTACATATAGATATGCTGGTTCAGTGGTAGCTCCATTGGTTGCATGGCAGGTAACTTCTGTATCATTTTCTTCACTTGTTGCTGTTAGGGTGAGTGATGCCATTCCACCAGAAGCTAAC